GTAGCTTATTGCGTGCTCTCAACTTAGTGTTCTAGATGCACTTCCACAGTTATTAATTGAGAGCTTTCGATGCCTGTACCATTGTTGCATTGGTATAATTGTTTGCCATGTTCAATCATACTTCTATGCCCTGGGAAGTCGAGACATTTTCCAACCTGAAAAATTCCTAGACCGAACCGGGAATCGAACCCAGCCACCTTCAGCATGGTCTTGCTTTGTAGCTGCGTCTTTACCGACTGAGCTAAGAGAGGTCCCTTCTTCTGGGTTCAAATGGTTCTAAAACCTGCAATAGAAGTCATGAGGATTGAGAATCTTAAAAATGTTCCTTAGTTCATAAAATCGGAGATCTTGAAAAATAAATCCATAGTTCACAAATTTTAAAAATGTTAATTTATAAAATCTTGAAAATGTTCCTCCAAAAGCCGAAATGATTTTCCATCCTCTAGATCTCGACACTATTCTGTTTTCGTAAAATTTTGATGTTTATGTAAATTGTCCAGGATTGTAAAACAATTCAAGCTGAACATTGCATTAGGTCCTAAGTAACACTGATCGATTCTCTTCGTCGACTTTCTCTTTCTTTAATAACTTGATCACAGAACCGTTTTTTGATGTGTTTGTCATATTAGATGCTAGATAAAAGCATCTTTTATCGATCTGTGTGCTGAAAATACCTGGGAATGGCTTTCCATGGCCGTGGGGATGCAAAGAGAAAGTCGACGAAGAGAATCTGTCAATGTTACTTAGGACCTAATGCAATGTTCAGCTTGAATTATTCAAAGAAATATTCAAATCTTCCTCTTAAAAACCACGAATAAAGAGAGAAAAAGCGTCTCTTTGAAGACGCAATCAAGAATTAAATCGATCAATTTGAAAAATCTAGTTGCGACATTTACATCCGAGGGGGAAGACAGTGAAGAATTCAAAGCAGAGTAACTCTGAGGAGCTCTCGTGCTCTCCGATGAACGATTTTATTAGAGAGGGTCTAGTATAAGAGAGGAGTGGAATGACTGGTTTTGAGCCAATCGAGCAGCGCCTATCTTGATTGCATTGGCAGTGTTGCTAGAAAGTACCTAGGCATAGGCTGCCAAGGCAGTTTGTTTTAAAGCCGCTTCACTCTTGTGAAGTGTAACGGTGTAGTTCATCTGAAAACCTGCTAGCAAACCACACAACACGCAAAAACGTTGTTGTTCAGATACAAAATAAATGGAGCTTGAGGGGGTGTGTCTGTGGATGTATTCTACTGTTCTAGCAACAGAGACTCTCGCCCGTGAGTCCACAGTGACTTCCATAAAAAATCAAAAACTACAATTAACTGGTAGAAAACAAGATCATTTCCTGATTATCCATTCCTTTTTATCTGTTCAACAACTTTGAAAACGTAATTTAGAGCCATAGCATTCAAATCGGCCCTAAAATACATGAGGTCTTCTATTCTCGCAGATGTGTATCGATTTAAATCAAACTATAATTTTATTTGTTTAGGTGTTGACAGTTGTTGAATAGGAAGATTGAGGTTAGGGCGACGCCACTTCATCCATTGCTTTCCTTCTTTTATTGTTGTCGAACTGACATGCTGGGTCAGATTCCAATGCTATATGCCCTACTAATTCTGTTTTCGTCGCAAACCAGAGTAACTCTGAGCAACTCTTTGTAAAAGCGGTACTCATATGAAAGTCGTCTTCCCCCTCGTTTACACCCGTTTAGACTCGTTAGAAATAAGGATTATCACAGTTGAATTTCGCAGTTAATTTCGCTAAATCAAATTGATGCAAGCAAGGTTCATATTTTGACAGTTAAGTGAGAAAACAGTTACCTTGTTGCGCGACAAATTGTCACTGTGCTCGGCTGCTTGTTTGTCACTAGAGCAAAATGGAAAATTTGTTGAGTTAAACAGAAATTTCATTGTATTTACTTCGATTTAGACCAATTTTGAAGTGCCCATTGTTTCTATTTCAGAAAAGTTAGCATTTGTGATAATCTTTCAAATAAACATAAGTGTTGTTGTTATTGAAGCTATTAACAGTTTCGAATATGTGATTTTTTTCAGTGTTTATTTTTTTATGAAAAGGCAAACCACTTCAAGCATAACTTTTCAAAAGGACGTATGTAACATTGGATAGGAAATTAGAAACATTGGATAGCAATGTCTATATGAGATTAGTAAATGCTATTTAAAAGTTAATGCTATTTTTTTAAATCTGTTTGTGCTATTAGTTGGATAAAGGGATTGCGTTTAAGAGAATTGTGAAAAATGTCGAGTTTTGCAAACACGGACAAGATTTTTGATAAAACAAAATCATACACCTTTTACTTTTGTACTACTCACATACACCCTGATTGATTCGTCGGTATCACACCTTGATTGTTACATACACCCTGCATGATTCGTCTATTTGACAGAAGGGTTTTCACATACGTCAAATCAGATACACCGGTTTTTGTTTTGTTGTGAAGATACGTCGGCAGCTCGAAAAGCATTGAGGAATTGTCGGTTGGTTGGTTTATTTACATAACTACCCAGAGTTGTGAAATAATCGATGTGAAAAGCGGATATGAGAGGTTCATCGCATTATCTGCTGTCAGATGTTATACGTTTTGCGTTTTTCATATTAAGAAAGCGCTGGTTAGATTGGCATGTGAAGTTCAGTATTAAAGTAAAGATTAAAGTGCAATTGTATTAGAATACCTTTGAAATAATAAACATGTTGCTCAAGGAAATACAAAAACAAACATATCATAACTTTTTTTTTAGCAGGATTCAAACAGAGACTTCATCGTAATCGGATGTAATCCTACATGATTAAACCCACAACCAGTATCGGGTTGCCACGAAGCATCATCATTATCTGGGACAGAATTGCTTTGTGACATCTCTGGCCGTTTGATTCCTTTCGTTGGTAGTATTTCTGTGCTCGAGTGAAACGTTATACAAAAAAATCACTACTAGAACTACTAAAAGAACTGAAGCTGAATATAGTTTGACACCTGCTGGGAATGTAGAAAAAAAGAGTGCTTGAATGTTACCAGGCAGAATGTTATTGAGTGAATGTTTTGATCACAAGGTTAATCACAGACAAACAAAAGATAATGTTTTCAAAACTCTAATCAAGATTCAACAAAGTAAAGCAATCAGGAATTTTGCGTGAATCTGAATACGGGTTTCAAAAGCACTCGCCATCAGTTTGTAAAGCGGCTCGGATATCATCAACCAATTGTCGTAAAGCGTTGTCATTATTCTGAAGAGGAGAAGCATCATCGTGCACGTTTAGATCTAGGCTTGGAGGCAATCCTTCTTGCGGAACTGTTTCCACTTCTTCGAAATATCCCACGCTTTAATCACAAACGAAGTGACAGACGGAGCGGCTCGAAAACTTTGGTGACTAACCTGCTATTGCAATTTTTCAGTGTAACACATGGCAACACCACTACTACTGGATTGTACCACATGGCAACATACTGGATTGAACTAGCATTTTCACCAAAAGTACTAGAATGTTTTGGTTCTATCTCTTTCACTCTACTCAAAACTGAAATGCATAAAAAAATGACAAAATGATACGCACTCTTTGCACACTGTCAAAGAATCATTGTACACAAAATCAACTTTGTGCAAAACCAAAACAAAAATACTATCCCATCTGGTGGATGATGACACAAGCTTCTAAGAAAATTCTATTACAGCGAACCACATTATTTTAATTCATTTCTTCGCCAATTAGTCGTCTGTCACTTCGTTTGTGCTTTAATAAAACATACCTAGCAGTAGCTGAATACCGTTGAAATCCATTTTGTATCTACTTAGAAACAACTTGACGTATCTGCTGATTTATAGTGGTTGCTTTGTTTTTTCACATACGACGCTTCACTGTGAGCGTATCTGCAGTTTTTGTGTTATCAACAAATTTTAGCAGTTAAGTCATGTTGACAATAAAAGGGTGTATCAACACCATTTTAAAAACAATGAAAGAAGGTCACATAGGGCGTTCATTAAATATATTTTCTATAATGCATTACAATTTCAAACCTTGTTTTTCATTAACTCGTAGGAAAAGCATGTATTTTATGTTCGGTTAGATGCAAAATATCGATTTGTTTATTTTTGCGACTTACGTCCTTTTGAAAAGTTATGCTTGACTTTCCTACAGCTTTGTCTGCAGACGTCATTTCGATTCGATAAGCCGTTTCGTGCTATGATTTGTTGAAAAATATCGCATACGTGAGACAAAATAGGCGGCAGTCAATTGGCCGAATTCCGGCGCAAACTTGACCAACTTACCTCTAGCGAACAATCATGCCGAAATGCCATGAAATTCTGAGAAATGAAATCTAAAATTCGTTTAATTTTTCGCTACTTGGCCTGGAATTGCTCAAAGGGAGAACAACACCGAAAACCGGAATTTGCTCTTGACTAAATATTTACCCAACACTGGTCGTTGGCAGTAGAGTGGTCGCTAAATGTATTCGATGCTACTACCCTCGAGAGGAGTTGCGTTGTCAAGGCTAAAGAAGGGTGTCGCCAGCAAGTGAATTATTGTGAGTTTGTTAAGGCAGCATTTATCTTCCAAACTGTAATCACTATCATCAATTGAATTTTTCGTGGGGGTAAAGAGCACCGATGGCTTACAGTCGCACTCGAGGTCACTTATCTCATTCGAAGCTCTGACCCGTAGTGCGCGTGGTCGTTTATGGTCCTTCTCGAGCGAACTCGAACCTTTTGCATATCATTAGAATACAGCGTGGCGTCGAGTCCTACGGTGACGCTAGAATGGTGCGGCAGTTGAAGATAACAAGTGGGTGTATTCCCCGTGCTCGCAGTGCTTCGAGTATTGGTGGATTTGGTCGTATGCGGCCCAAGACTGGTTTGGCGGCGAAGGGAATTTTCAAGCGTCCATTGATCGATCGTAGGATGATTCCAACTTAGGGGTGCTGCGGCGGAATTGCGCAACCATCCAGCAAAACAACTAATACTGTGTCTTTTCTCTCGCTTCCATTCGCAGGACCGAACCCAGTTCGGATTTTGGTGAAGAACAACGCAAAAACCTTGGAAAAAAAACAAACATTCAACGTCATTCAAGGCGTCATCGCGGAACGTGTGATTCACGAACGTACTATTATCTCATACAGTAATCAACACTAGGTCATTAGCGCACCATGTCGTCCCAAAGATTCTGCCTCCGGTGGAACAACCACCAGACTAACCTGCTATCGGTATTCGATCAGCTACTACATGCGGAAACGTTCACCGATGTCACCCTGGCCGTCGAAGGACAGTCCCTGAAAGCACACAAGGTAAGTCTCAAACTGCCCCTTTTCAAAATATGTAGTCGAAAATCGCTTATCTCACTTGTGCCTGACTCATAAAAACAAACCATGTGACACTAACCTAGACCGAACACACGATAGCAGGACGGACACACACACACACACACATCCAACAAAGCATATGCATGTATTTGTGTAGTAGAAGGAGAAGGAGAAAATCAATTCTCCTGATAAGAGCAATAGCCACCCCAGGAGATAAGACCGAGAAAAGGACTCGTATCACGGCAAAAACAAATATTCTCTGTTATCATCGCTAGCACCACTTTTCCTCCCTCTCGTACCATTCCTCCCGTAGTTATCTTTTGTCGCTTCGTCAGGCGCAAGGCTTTAGAGCTATATGATAAGCACAGAACCGAGCAAGTGATAAGCGTTCAGGACAACTACCACCAACTGCGATAGGATTGCTGCCTAGCTTTGTGTGCTTTGTTTCGGAAATTGATGTTTGATTTCCATCCCGTTTCATTACAGATGGTGCTATCGGCCTGCAGCCCGTACTTTCAGGCATTATTTGTCGAAACCCCTGAAAAACATCCCATCGTCATCCTGAAGGATGTCCCCTTCAAAGACATGAAATGTCTGCTAGACTTTATGTACCGCGGAGAGGTTTCTGTTGATCAGGACCGTCTGGCAGCTTTCTTGCGAGTAGCGGAAAGTCTACGAATAAAGGGTCTCACCGAAGTCAATGACGATAAACCTCCGCTCCAAACGGCGTCGCTAACCAGCGGGTCTTCATCAAACCAAAATCAACCATCCCAACAGCCTCAGAACCAGCAGCAACAGCTTCAACAGCAGCTAGCCGCGGCTGCAAGCCGAAATGCACAGCTGGCAGCACTGCAGCAAAGTCAGCAGTTGCTCCAGCAGAAGCAAAAATCCAGCCAAAGTATGCTGCTGACGAATCCCCTGCTTGGTTCTGCGCTCTCCCAACAGAGGCGGAAACGCGTCCGGCCGCGAAAACTATCCGGTAGTGATACCGGCGAAGGGGAGTACGATGGCTACGAAAGCGACAGTATTGTGCAAGGCTCGCCGGACCTAATGGACGTTAAAATGGCAACGGACGGTACCTCGAACTCGGGCGACGAAAACGTTATCAGCCGCTCGGAAGACAACGACCCCGAGGACTCGATGGACACCTCCAGGAGCCCACCGGTTGTTAACAACAATAACAACAACATCAGCAAAACCGCCAGAAGCAGTCCCGCCCCTTCCGGTACCACGGTAACATCCGCCGCCGCGGCCAGTACGAACAATACCACCACGACCAACTCTTCCAACAGTAGCAACGTGAAGAGTTCGGCCAGTAGGCTGAGAAACGAAAACAGCATGTCAGGTATGTGGCCAATGGCTTCCAAGTTTTTTTTTCTCTCTCTCTATCTCGTTTTTGGTCGTTCCTTCTGCCATTCCTGTTCGCTCACTCTTTCTCACCTATGATCTCCTATACTTCAAAATTCACCGTTACTCGATTGTAATCTCCCATAGCCTAGGAGCATCAACAACAAAAAAAAAACATAGATTCCCCACTCATTAAGCTAACACCATCATCATCATTTCTCTTCCCTTTTTTCCATCATCTGTGTTCCTACCACTACTTATTTCATTTGTTTTCTTTTTTTTTATTGTCTTAAATCCGGGCCTAAAGGGAAGGAAGCAAATTTGTCTCACCTTAGCAGTAGTAGTACCATCAACATAAAAAAAAATTCCAATCCAATTGACAAAACTCTCTCGCTCTCGTTCTATTCCGGAAAAGCTAAAAGGGATTGTTTCTCGATTATTAGTGAAAGCCACAAAAAAGAAAATCAAAACGAAAAAAAAAACAAAACAAGCAGTCAATTCAAGTCGCGTTCGTTTTTTGTTTGTGCAGTAGTGATGATTGTTGAACGACGGAAGTGTTGTAACGAAAATCAAAAAAAAAATCCAATCCGAGACAAACTACTTCTTCGATACGGGAAAACTCAACGAGGTGAGTTTCCGGCTTCCCATGCGCCGCTGCAGCAGTCGAAAATTAAGAGATTGAAGGAAATTCCCCACTCGAAACAGTCAGAGAGAGAGAGAGAGACGCGATGCGATTAACGTTTATGTACGGGAAAGTGAGAAGGAGAAAAAGAGAGAGGGAGATAATTAGGTGGGGGGGTTAGAACTTCGCGGATGAGTGAATGGTTTTTGACCTGAGGTTTGATTTCGGGATTTTCAAGAATTCATCAGAGTTAGTTTTTGATCTTTTGTTGAAATATTTGATTGTTGCAAAATTTAAGACTTACGACATAAATGTCACCGTTTACCATCAGTTTCTGCATTTTGGGATCGTGGTTGATGTAGTAGCACAAACGAAGTGGCTCGAAAACTTTGGTGACGAACCTGCTATTGCAATTTTTTAGTATACCACATGGCAACACTACACCTGGATTGTATAGCATTTTCACCAAATGTACTAGAATGTTTTGGTTCTATCTCTTTCACTTTACTCAAAACTGAAATGCATAAAAAATGAAAAAGTGATACACTCTTTGCACACTGTCAAAGATCATTGCACACAAAATCAACTTTGTTCAAATAAAAATAAAAATACTAGCCCATCTGGTGGCTGAAGGCTCAAGCTTCTAAAAAAATTCTATTACAGAGATCCACATTATTTTAATTGATTTCTTCGCCAGTTAGTCGTCTGTCACTTCGTTTGTGATAGAAGCAACCGGTGGAAATGAACGATTTTAAATTGGCTTATTACTTGACTAGCCTATTGGTCCCAAGCAAATCGATTAACGTACCCCATTCTAGTATTAATTCCAGTACTACACTATGTTTGTTTTGATTCGCTATGAAAGTTTGACAGATAAAATGAGGGGTTAGTGGATTTCCCTATGTTTCGAGGGGTGAATCGATTAGCTTGGGACCGAAGATAGTACCAGAGCTGAGCCAAAAAGTTGAGCACGTTTCTTCGGGACCATCTTGTCTTAGAGTTAGTTTTGCAATGTGGTACACTGAAAAATTGCAATAGCAGATTCGCCACTAAAGTTCTCGAGCTGCTCCGTCTGTCACTTCGTTTGTAGTAGAACACTCGACTAAAAATTGCAAAAAAGTGGAGTTACTCAGTGAATGAGCAAAATTTTCCACGTTTTTCCTCACAAATCGGCTCGAATATCAGAAAAATCGATGAATATTTTACTCAGCCTATGAGTATACATTCAATTCAGTTTTTACGCGATTTTTTTCGCTTTTATTCTTGATCGTGTGGGTGTGTGTGGTCTCGGAGATGAACCAGAGTCTGACTCTTAAGGTACGTTGAGACTATCTGATTTGTTGGTCTGATTCGAGCGGACTGCTTGATAATTTTGTCGGATGCAATGTTCGAATACATTCACACTTTTTCGACATGATGATTTGTTTTGACGTTTGATTTGTCGAACGTAATAGGTTTGTGGTTAATTTTCATTCGACTCATTCAGCAAAATAGCCACAAGTGAAATGAAAATATTGATTTTGTTTTTCTTCTAAAATTTAAAGGATTTGATTTGTGTTTTGATGACATCCAGCAGCAAGGTAAACCGATTTTACTATTCAATGTGTATAATTTGACTGATTTTTATTTTCCAGTGTGTTTGGCCGTCAACAAAACAGTGTTTGTATAATACGAAGTATGTATTATATAAGAACAAGCATGTCTGAGAGCCTACTAAGAATTTTTTAGAGCTTCAAACATATTTGGAGATCTACTGAGAAATTTATTGAGCTTCAGGGTAGTTCGTAGATCTTGAGAACAGAACTAGAAAACTTTAGAAAATTTTACAGAAATTTAAAGAAATTAGAAGAAATTCAGAAAAATTAACAAGAGAGATCGTAGGGGAAATGCAGGTAATGTCGGCCTAAGTGTCCCTAATTTGGTCTCATACATAAATTCAGCAATCGACTAATTTTCAATAGCAACCAAAAATATCCATTAGTAACGTCCCAATAACGCGTTCATCTAGTTAACATTGATAAATAGCAGACTTTTAGCGATGAGCCCAATCTTAGATCCATAGGCCAACATTAGAGACATTTCCCCTAGATCTTCAGAAAAATGTTCAAAGAAATTTTCAAAACTTCAAGCAAGCTTAAATATTTTCAGATCAATTTGTAAAACTATAAGGGAAATTTTGGTAAATATTCAGGGAACTTCACAGACCATCAGAAAAGTCCAAGAATCTACAGTGAAATGTAAAGAATTTCACAGAAGTTTGGAGATCTACTGAAAAATTATTGCATATCAGAAAAGTTCCTAGATTTTCAAATCAAAGCTACAGAACTTTAGAAAAATCACAAGAATGGTCATAGATCCTCAGATTAAATTTTTAGACCTTCAAGAAAGAGTGCAGCTTTTCTGATCCATTTTTAGAATGTCAGAAATTTCAATGCATCTTCAGCGAAATTTGCAGAACTTCAGGGACGTTTAGCGGTTTAAAAATATATTTTTATATTTATTACGATCTGCAGGGACATTTTCAGATATTCAGGGTAGCCCGAGAGCCTACATAGGAATTTACAAAACCTAAGACAAGTTTGCAGATCTACTGCGAAATGTATTGAGCCTCAAGGTAATTCGTAGATCTTGGGAATTAAACTACAGAGCTTCAGACAACTTTACAAAGCTTTAAAGATATTTTCAGAACTTCAGGAGAGTAGATATTTGGAAAAATCTGTAGAACTGCAAGGAATTTTGAGGATCTTCAGAGACATTCAGTGATTCAGTGTTTCAGGACAGTACTTCAATTCCAAAAAGAAATCTCAGCGAAGTACGGAAAGTCCAAGATTTTGCAGAACTCCATGGAAAACTGGAAATAGATAGATCTGAAGAACTTCAGAAAAGTCCGTAGGCCTTAAGAGAAGCCTGTAGAATTTCAGAAAGCTCGTACATTTTTAGAAAAAAAAATGCAAAACTTCTACAAAACACACAAAACGTCTGGAACGTTCGCCGATCTTTAGAAGTATTTACACAACTTCAGAGAAATTCAAATATTTTCAGATAATTTGTAGAGCTTTAAGGAATTTTAAAGAAATTCAGATAAATCTGCAGAACTTTAGTCCAAGAATCCACAAAGAAATGTACAGAACTTTAGAGAACATCTACTGAAAAATCTGTAGAATTTTATTGAGGTTCTTGGATTGTAAGTGAAATTTACAGAAATTCTGGGAAGTACGATGATCTTTATAGATATTTGCACAACTTCAGAAAAATAAGTAGATCTTCAGAGAACTTCCTTAAATTTCCGGGAAGCTCATAAATTTCTAGATTTTTTTTATACTTAAGGGAATTGCGTAGATGTTCAGAGATATTTGCAGATATTAATTGAATCATGATAATCTACAGAGAAAATTATATAACTTTCGAGACATTCGTAGATTATTGGACATTTAGTGAACATCAGAGATAATTGTTGATATTTAAGGATCTTAAATCTGCATGGATTCAGGAACTTTGTAAATTTTTAGAGAAATTTGCAGATCTCCTAAAGAACACGCACGACTTCTAATAAATTTGCAGAACTACCGAGAAATTTGCAGATCTTTAGGAAAGTTTGTTGATCTTCAAAGATATTTTACCAGGGAACAGAAATGAAACTTGGGGACGTCCGAAGTTCTTCAGAGAAATATGCAGAATTGAGATCTTAACAGAAATTCAGAACAGAACTCAAGGAGTCATGTAGATCTATAGAGAAATTTTCCCACTAGCTTGTCGAAAGTTGTTATCGACATCCTGGCAAAGTTTTGAAATCCTTTTTCGTCTTAATATCGCAGTTCTTGAAGGACAAGATGAGCCAGATCCCTGCCGGTGTTCTTCCTGAGCAACCATTTTCTACTCAACAAAAATCACCTTCTCCTTCTCATTTTATTTAAAATAATAAAAGCAAATACGCCTGCCAAAGCTAGAGCAATTTTCCGGTAATTCATTATGGAAGCATTTACTTTTGATTCCGGATACAATTTTGTTTTGAAATCTAAATTGACAATTCTTTCGACATGTGCAAGCAGTGTGAACACCAGCAAACAGTGGGGTTCGACAAAGTGTGTCGAAATTAAAAGCGGGCATATTTTTCAATATGGCGGCGGTCAAAATCAGACTAAGAAATCAGATAGTCTAGACGGACCTTTAATAAAGGCAACCAACCAACCTTGATCGTGTGATTTCAAATTGAAACGAAATTTAATAACAGGCTAATCCAATAGAAACTAACCGATCGTTTCAGCCTCTGACGGTGAATAGGGAAACTCTCCAAAGAGTGATGAGGGCGGAAATTTTCACCGTGAAGCATACACGCTAAGATGCACAGGAGAACGTCAAAAAGAGTGTTGTGAGTA